GGTAGAAACGGCCAAACCTTGAAAAAGGGGGGGGGGGGGGATACAGAAAAGCATGCAATGGAGCAAACGAAATACAGATATGGGTCAAGGACAGAAAAAGCTTATTCAAACCAAATAGCAAAAACGTACCACACTCCAGAAAGAAATAAAGAAATAAGGAAAAGGAGGGGTAGGGATTTGGGGGGGGGGGGGGGGGGGGGGGGGGGTGGTAAATACAGGCTACATAAGGATATCATCCTCATAGGTTCCAGATCTGAAACAGAATCCGGTAATTGTTTCTCTGTTCTGAAGCTCTCAAAAACCACATAAACGTGGCCCTTCCTAGTTTCTTATCTGTTCAAGCCCTTTGTGGAAGCTCTGGAGGGACTTACACAGTAAAATACAATTTCAACAGATTACACAATGACTTGCTCCATGCATACCGGCCAGTTCAATGTACACCATTCCTTTCAAATACACAATATACACCCGTGATTATCAACAAGCACGTTCTGACGAAGGAACACACACAGACACACACATACACACTTACACACACACACACACACACACACACACACACACACACACACGCATGCACGCACACACACACACACACACACACACACACACACACACTCACGCAAACACACCCAAACCGACAATCACCGTGACTGGTGTTTACACCTTTTGTTGGAGAGAAGAATTAAACCAAATCTGCTGGTAAAGTTAGATTTGAATAAATGTGCCTGTAGATCAGCTTAAATGAAATCAACGTTGGCACCTCTCTTACATGCATGGCACTGGGGCGTTTTGCGCACAATCCTCGGGTTCTGGAGTCTTTACAGTTTATCCATTTATTGTTTAGTTGGTATGTTTATTGGAAGTGAGTGGTGAGAATCAGTCTTGGGAGATGTCTCGCTCCCCAAAAAGTGTCATTTGTGCATTTTTTCGATCTCTAAATAAGCTGTCGTACATAGATTTTGGGGATTGGTGGCTCAGAGACAATTTACTATCAAAGACAACTTCTATATTTTGTTCGTTTCTTCTTTTTTTTGGGTGTAAAATCAAAATTCTCATTTTCAGCAACAACATGGAATCTCCCACCAGTTTGTATCCTCAAAGATGTTGGGTCACACGAAATTTCTTTGGTCTTGTCGTCGTTTAGCCTCAGCGTTAGATATCATGCAGGTCAATACTTCTTCTGCACATTGGTCAAACTTGTAGATCTAGCTTGGATGGAAAACTTTGTGGAGCTTGGTGTAATCGTGGGTCTATTTTTTGCCTGATCTCTGGTCAACAGGTAAGAAAGATAAAGAGCCTGTCAGGAGGAATTTTGAGTCTGGAGAAAAGATATCACCTTGCACCCAGAGTGTCGTATTATCTCTTACCCGCTCCGTGGGTCTAATGACTTACTAACATACGAAAAAAGGTGTACATGCAGACTAGCTTATAGCCAGTCGCAGTGAAGCAAAAACTCATGAGAAAGAATTTAAAATTAAAAGATATTGAGATGCCATCAGATGTCCCATAATTGCCTTTATTTAAAAAAAAAACAACTTATTCACCTTTTGGTGTAAAACTTTGAGAAGCTCAAACTTTTGTAGGTCGCAGTCATATCCGGGTTGTTCTTTTTTCAGCTAACTTTTTATGATTTGTTACCGTTGGGGATAAAATTTGAAACAACAGGATCCCCTCCCAAAGACCTTTCTTCCACTCGATTTCGAAATCTTGAAAGTCCATTCTTCTAAGGCCTTCATTTCGCATAATTTGAAATCTGGCATCTTCCCATCTATTTTTATTTCCGATTTATATGCCTTTAAGTTTGAAGGCCAACCTAAAGTTCCTGGTCTAGTTTGTTACTTTGTCTACCTGATGTGTTGCACAGACGAGCCTTATCTTGCTGCGAATTGTTGCTTCTGTCACATTCTTAAGTGTCTATATGGTCAGTACAGCGAGGTATTTCCTTTATCCTGCTGGGAACTTCACCTGGTGAAAAGTACGGTTATCCCGTGCCCACACACCGATAGGGGGGAAAGTAAGAAAGAAAAGCACAAACAAACAAAAAAAGAAAGAGGAAAAACATTGTAACTTGTTTTCACGTGCACCTTCTTCGTTTAGCAACACATTACTTCATGAATAAAATAATTTAACAGATGGATTTAGAGATCTTTATATATTTTTGCGCTTTTTGATTCTCCACTTTCGTTGACTTGGGTTGTCCTTGTATTCTGTTGTCATAGTCAGCAGTTTCGGCCCTGGAGAATTATTCTACTTATGAAAGTGCTCTTTTCAAGTAAGGCGGCTATTTTATTTTAAAAAATGTCTTTGGGGTCGGGAATAATCTTGTCAAACTAATGGCAGTGGATGAACATAAACCTGGTTTCTGAGCTTTTCTGAACGATGGAGTCGCGCTCAAGATAAAGAAACGAAAAAAAAAAAAGAAGAAGAGACGGGACTAGGCATACAATAGAAATGACACAACAGTAGAGAGGTGACAAGACACACAAAAGAATCGAAATAAAAAAGAAGAGGGGAGGACAAGACACACATACGAAACGAAATTTAAAAAGGAGGGAGGGTACCAGACACACAAAAGAAACGAAACAACGGTAGAGAGAGGACAATACACACAAAAGAAAATAGTAAGTGTCAGTTTGAAGCAGTTTGAAGCAACAATGAACATGGACGCGAGGTTGTTTTTTTTTGGTTTTGGTATGGCTAAGCAATCGTTTGTTGGTTATTGTTTTTGTTTGTTTGTTTTGGGTTTTTTTTTTAGGGGGGGGGGCAACTGTGAAAGGACGGAAGCAGTTTCTATAATTCCAGCTCTATTTTAACAAGAAGCCCAAACGTGTGACAATCTGACCTTGCAAACGGTAAAGAACACTGAATACCGAAAAGACCAAACTCACTGCTCTCTCTTACAGCAGGGCTGCCGTCACTGTCGGGGATTAGCTAATAGATCAATATAGGTTGTTTTTTTATGCAATGGACGGGTGAAGAATGAAGAGAAAGAAGTTTTAATAGAAATAACCTTACAGCAACACCTGGCGATCGGCACTCAACCGTTATGGCTTGGGATGGGTTCAACACCCCTTTTCACCTATGATAATCCATAATGTCACAGATCTGAAGCAGACGTGGGCTATAGTGGTTCACCATTCATTTTTCTGCTTGCATGCTCTCAAAATACTTATATTATCCCTATATTATTGTGGCATCGGTGGCCTAGTGGTTAGGGTACCGGACTCGTAATCGTGCGATCATATCATCAGTGTACGTTAGAACTCTCATTTGGGGCAAACGTAAAAAAAGTCCACATGGTACATGTATTTTTAATGGTAGGATCCGAATACAGTGTTATTGAACGTCCTACAATTAACACTAAATGACATATGATGATAATGATGATGATGATGATGATGATGATGATGATGATGGGTTTTTTTGTTTGTTTCCTTAATGGGCCTGACGGACTTCACGAAGAAATCTTCGAGCGAGAGCGAAGCTCTTTTTCGGCTCCATTGTCAATATGCTTAGCGGCACCTCCACTCGTCCAAATAACATCATTCGAATTGCCATTGTTCCTAGACATTCAAACATATGTTTGATATCTGATGATGATGGTGATGATGATGATGGCGATTATAGAATCACGTGCTGTCACTCCCTCCCCCCCTCTCTCCCTCTCTCGCACTCTCTCTCTCTCTCTCTCTCTCTCTCTCTCTCTCTCTCTCTCTCTCTCTCTCTCTCTCTCTCTCTCTCATAATTTGTCCAACGTGATATAGGTATAGACTAATGGGTACTAGGCGAAATATGAGGTCTCTCACGCCTTTAGCATTTTTGTGCTTCTACCAGCAAGCTCCCTTGTCACATCCGATCACAGGAATGACACTTTAGTAAGGTTTTGCGCAATGGCTTCCCTGTCTATGAAGAATGCCACTTACACTTGATGATAAACGGCCTGATGTAACAGTGTTCTCTAAATGGGGTCAAGCAGGCACTTTTCAAAGCTTAAGCTCGGCTGTTAAAAGTACGGCCTCGAGAGGCTTTCTCTATGTGGTCGCCCTTATGCAGTTGCGAGCGCCGCAAAAGCTAATTAAAACAAATGTGCTAAGGAGAGACTTGAAAAAAAACCATACTCTGGTTTTGATCTTGTGGCTATGACAGTTTAAGGTCAATAGAGGTCAAATGCAACAGACATTAACCATGATTTAACAGTTAATCAATTGAATGTGTTGAATTGTCATTGAATAGTGTCAATAACGAAAACAAAATTAAACATTAACTGTTTTTGCCACACCAACCCGACAACCTAGATATGACACAGTGGCTGAGAGATAGCTCTGTCATTTAAGTCTCTTGTAGATTAAACTTTGACCCAACGTTATCGAAAAAGGAGCGCCTCTTTATAACACCTTCTATTTCTAAAAAAAAGATCTTTTCAACGTTAATACCCATAAGGTGTTGTTGTTATCTTCGTTGTTGTTGTTGTTGTAGCTGTTGTTGTTGCTGATGCTGCTGCCGCTGTTGATGCTGTGATTGTTGTTGTTAAAAGTTCTTTTCTGTTTGGCTGACTTTGTATACAAAGACGGCTGAAGTGGATCGAATAATGAATGACTAAGTTGTAAAAAAAAAACCCATAACAATTGTTACAGCCTACAATTAATTTTGACGCATTATTTACCAACTCGGAAACTTCAACTTATATGATTCTACTTCTCTCGCTCCTCATAAAAATGCACGTGCAAAGTGCCCGACTATCCTGACTCATGAAAAAGAATGCAAAAAAGTAAATTTTTACGCTAACTACTTGTTAATTCTTTTTAAAATTGTTCTTTAGCATGAGTTTAAATTCTGAAGTACTGTGATTTTGTTGTCTACATGTTGATAAGGTTTCATAACTTTGACACCTCTTTTCTTTGGTATTTTGTTCGTGCCACACAGATGTTTTCGCCCTGCTGTCTGCCCAGATATACAGAACACAGAACATACACATGTATTTTATATCCCCTAAAAAAATTCTAAACGTCTATGCAATTAGAAATACAACTTTTTCTCCTGTTATTTTTCAAAGAAGATAAAGTTTGCAGTCAACCTCGCCACTTATTATCGAAAAAGAAAGTACGTGTAGTTTCCGCTGCTCTAGTCATCATTCCTCTAGCCAGCTGGAGGTTTCCCTTGGAATTTCCCACGTTTACCGTCAGTGCAAAAATGGACCTAAAGAGTATAAAACACAGTGTTTGTCTTCTGTCGCTATGTGGACCTTCTTCCCAAAATCTCGACGATAAGAAGCTGTTGGGCCAGATCTTTGCCATCTTGTGACAGCTAAAATATGGCAACAAAAGGTAACGTTAACATCATTTAAATATATGTATACAGTAATCAGCTGATCATCAAATAAATTGTCGTGTCACTGCACAACTCTTCGTATATATTACATAATAAGTGAGGCAGCGTGGTGGAATCAGGCTCTCCTCAAAATAATGAAATCGAAGAAAACAGCAGTTTTCTCCCTGCTTAGCAATTTTCATCAATTCTTTTTTGTACACCAAGTTTTGGTGGCCATTTTCTCGAAAATTTTACCTCTTAAACCAGGTGACCCCCCACCTCCTTCAATCCCAAATATCTCCACTTCTATTAAAGATGTATGGGTAATTGTTTCATTGAAAGCAAGACAAAAATGAACATGCTGTAAGATGATACCAATAACTCAATATGCCCAAAAATTGACGAGAGCCTGATTCCACCACACTGCGTCACATATGATTTATCTATATTATTATATATTGATCCTTTATACTAATTCACCTGGCAGCATATCTATCTCTTCTATGTGGTGTCCGTGGTCTAGTGATTAGGCTCTAGGACCCTCAGCCGTAAGGTCGTGGGTTCGAATCTCGCCAGGAGCCCGTCATTACGAACTTGGGAAAGGAAGGCACTTAACACGAACTTTCTTTTCTTCACCTTGGTAGAAATGAATACCTGGGTATACAAAGCGAATTATCTTGTCAGGTTGTGTTTTCGCGTGTGAAATCCACAGTGGGCAAAAACTGCACTGAAATGCTATTTCACTTTGAGAAGAAAAAAAGCCAGTTTCTTGCAGAAATTTGCCATATTATGTTTGACCATTTTTATGTTTTCAAAGCAACTTATGACACGAATAAGCCGTTTCTATATTCCTCTCTTTGTTCTTTTTAGATATATGAGTAGCTGGGCTTCTCTAATACGTAAACAAATCAATTTCATAATTTGACCCAAAATTAGCAATTTCAAGGGGCACTTTGATCCTTAAGGACGCAGAATCTGCCCGATCAGCAGCAGGCAAAAGGCAACCAGCACATCTCAAACCGTCATGCACAAATCAGCAATGATAATAATAGATAGCATTTGTTTATCCCAAATTCCCGCTCATCAGCAAGCTCTATTCGCTTCACAATCTATACTATTACCCCAGCAGACTTGAGAGCATTCTGGAACAATATCAACTTCCTGGGAAGCATACAGTGCAAGAGGTCGTTTATAGGCGTTAAAACACTAGCATACTGACATGATCTTTCGCTGTCTCTGGCCGGGTACACTTTCCCACCTTGGTCTAGGGAAAAAGCAAATTCGTGATAAGTGCCTTTCCCATGGACACAACGTCGGGCCCGCGTCTCGAACCCCCGAACCCACAATCTCACGATTACGAGTCCGGTAGCCTAACTACTGGGCCACCGACGCCAATACGAATTTGCATATTTGCGTACAGAAAACCTACCAGCGTTTTCAAGCTTTAGCTAAAGAAACAAAATTGAAAAATCATTACTGCTATGCCGTGGCATCAGTAGCCTAGTGGTTAGGCAACAGGACTCATAATCAGGAGATTGTGGGTTTGGGGGTTTGAGCCTCAGCTCGTTCCGACGTTGTATCCTTGGGAAAGTCACTGTACACGAATGTCCCACTTGAGTTGGTCCTTTCGGAGATGGACGTTAATATTTGGAGGTCCCTCATCTTGAATGACCTAAAGCAGTGGTTTTCAAACTTTTTTCGTCCACTGCCCCCTTTTTCACCCAGCCGAGTCCCAACGCCCCCTACTCCGCCCCAACCATCAATCTGACATAATGACATGTATAATACAATAACAATCACAAATAAAGAGAGAGCTCAAACAGCAGGGTAGAAAGTAGCGTTCTTAAATTCTAATGACTGAGTTCTGAATATTATTTGGGTAACAAATCATTATCTTTACAGTCTTAAATTAAGCGTGGACGAGAGATAATAAAGCACTTCAATCTTATGCAATGGCATTGAGAGCAAAATACTGTCATTTTATGCATATAGTTGTCATCGGTACTAAACGACCAGTGTTATTAACATCATTAAAAATAAAACATGTATTATCACATTTACAGAAGCACAACGCAAAAACAATAAAATAAATAAAAACGCCCGTGATCATTGGTTTGAAAACAGATTGACATTATCTTTATGAAACGTTTTCTCCCATCAACGTGCTGCAATGAAGTGGTCTGAGATTTGTATCAAATATCTCCGTTGTAGAAACAAAAATATTATTAGGTTGTTCAAATGTGAGAAACCACACAAAAGAAAAACGTATGCATGGATCTTAGTCTGTAATTATCACCATCATCGTAATCATCATCGTCATCATCATCATCATCATCATCATCATCATCATCATCATCATCATCAGTTTCGTCAGCAGTGGCAGCACGTGAACATAAAAAACTCTGTTAAACAAGTGAATGTTTCGCTTTTAAAAAAAGGAAGAAAAAAAAAAAAGAAGAAAAGACACATTGAGATATCAAGTAAGGTTAAACTACAGAGTAAGCATGCGCAAATAAGTTATTGACACTAACCTAATGGGAAAGATGGACCTGCTAAGACGGAACCAAGTTATCAACATCAGGTTTCAGATTGGTCAGTAGCAGACGCAAATCGCTACGCTTCTTCAGCAACCTTGTCACTGCACTGAATCCCCTTTCTACTAGATAGGAGGCGGGAAAAGAGATGAACAACAACTTGATCTTTTCCCACTTGGAGGGATATTTGTCTTGCACAACAGTTTTCAACCAGAATGACTGGTACGGCTTTTTGAACAATGGTTTGATTGCAAAGTCACATTTCATCGTCAGAAGCTCTTCTTCAATTGCTACTTGCAAGTTATCATATGTTTAAGTGTTCAATGGGTCCAGTATCCAGTATGGAATTTCCAGTTTAAAAATATCAGGAGGCTAAACCTTGTCTTCATATCAGCATGCGAATCTCTGAGGTGGTTGCTATATATATATATATATATTTGTAGTTCCTCGTCAGAAATGCGCCCTTGTTTCAGTGTCTTCGACAAGCTAGGAAACTGCTAAATTTTCTTCTGCCAATGTTTCGGCGGATCATTTTCAATTTCGACAAGAATGACGAAAGCCTTGATCAGGTTGGTGTCATCCACCTGCAGCTGAAAGTTGAACTGGTTGAACTTTCTGAAAAGATCTGTGAGGAGCGCAATGTTGTTCTTGCGTCCTTTCAGTTTATTGCAGAGATCACTGTCTGTTTCTTGAAAAAATAAACTCCAGCACAGAGTCAAACAGGCAGAACAATAATCGTGTTCAACAGTTTCCTTTCGAGAGCCACCAGACTTCAGTGTGCAAAAGTAAGCATTGAAAGTAATCGTCATTTTCAGTGCACATCTGTTGAAATAGTCTCGAGTTCAAAGCGTGGACTTTGATCTTGTTCACACACTTGATGGCAATGGCCAGTGTGTCATGGAGACTTTCATTCAGGTTTTTTGCCACCAAATTCTGTCTGTGAATGACACAGTAAACAGTAAATACTCCATGGACTGATTTCTTCAAGAAGTTCATAAATCCAGGTTTCCGACCTGCCCCATCTGTTGCACAGGCAACTGTATTGGTCAGAGGGATCTGTTTCTCCTCGAAAAATTCTTGGACCACTTTGAAGATGGACTCGCCTTTGGTATCTGTTTCCAACATTTTCGCAACTGATATGAACTGATATCCAGTTAAAGGCTGAGCTCACGTCCTTTCAGCATTTTGCACTGTGATTCCTAAACATTTGCTGACATCTCATCAATACGTCTTTGAATGGTATTGTCACTTAGTGGGAGAACTTTCAACACAGGCTCCGGGGCACGTTGCAGGACTGTGCTGACCACCTGTCTTATCGCAGGCAATATGAGATCGTCATCAATAGCATGGTGTTTGCCTGCCTTTGTAATTAGCTGAGATAAATTATGTGTTGCTCGTAAGCCTTCATCAGCTTGATCGACGTTGGCTGCAAACATCGGTTTAACTGATTTTCATTTCTGAAAATTGATCTTTAGAGTTTTGAAGTATGCCAGATCTTTGTCAGATTTGTTGTGATGAATCTTCTTTATATGGGATTTGCGGGCTGGGAAAGAAAGTTCTTAGTTATAAGTAGTATTGTAAACTATGCCTAAGCTATCAATTTTTGTTTTCGTTTTTTTTATATGACTTTTTTCCCTTCATCATGTTTTATGTTGCATGTCATGAAAATTTCACACCGCCCCCTTAGCGCCCACCAGCGCCCCCCAATCGCCCAGTTTCGCCACAGCGCCCCCCAACCTCTCGCCACCGCCCCCCTGGGGGCGGTAGCGCCCACTTTGAAAACCACTGACCTAAAGGTTCTGATAGGGTTATTAAACCTATACTATTTCACCATTTTCATTATACGATTAGATTATTCTATGCTTCTTTTTTCAAGTTCCTCGAAACAGCACGTTGTCGAATGACCGGATTGCGTGTCCTTGATGTGTTAATTATATATACTAATATTATTATACAGGATCATCCATGTTGTAAACACGACGAACTGACAATCTCATTGATATTACTGGTCTAGGAAAGACAGATAGGGCTTGGAGAAACAGAGAGAGAGAGAGAGAGAGAGAGAGAGAGAGAGAGAGAGAGAGAGAGAGAGAGAGAGAGAGAGAGAGAGAGAGAGAGGGGGAGAGAGAAAGAGAGAGAGAGTGTGTGTGTGTGTGTGAGAGAGAGGGAGAGAGAGAGAGAGAGAGAGAGAGAGAGAGAAAGAGAGAGAGAGTGTGTGTGTGTGTGTGAGAGAGAGAGGGAGAGAGAGAGAGAGAGAGAGAGAGAGAGAGAGAGAGAGAGAGAGAGAGAGAGAGAGAGAGAGGGTGGGGGTAGGGGGAAAGGGGAAATAGTTTTAAAATAAACGGAATCATTTCCTTTGTTTTTCAAACTTTATTTCACTGTAATTCTTTTTTTAATCTTTCGTTCTTTCTATGGTCATCACCCCCCCAAAAAAAAAACAACAACAAAAAAGCCACACAACAAAAATAACCAACCCCAAATTATTTTTTTTAAAACTTGTGACATATTTTGCACTGGCACACTCCACAGTTTTTGTCTTCGCCCTTGTCAGCTTAGCTGTTCCTGTAATCTACGGTCAATTCGACTGTATCTACTCAAATACGACGGCGAGAATAGAAGCTTGTGCCGGTGAGCACTCCTATGCTGTGTTCCTATTCAAGGAATTCTACGAACTGTACAGTACCCTCACCTACAGATTCTTGGACATGGCAAGAGAGCTACCCGACCAGCTATGCCGGAATAGCACTTTAATGGTTTGTTTTTGTTTGTTTGCATATTTGTTTTGTTTAAATGTTCGTTTACTTGTTTGTTTGAATTCAAATGGAAGCATTATGACCGGATACTGCTTTTGTATGCTTATAAAGTCAAGCTAGTCGCAAGCTGTTCAGAAGCCCGTTTTGTAGTCTTTCTGCCCCATAGAGTAAAACATGAATTGTTATTTCTTAGCTATATTTCATCATTGAGTTACGCAGCTATTTGATGAGTTGTGAATTTCAAGGCACTAAAATGAATCCTTGATTTTCTTTCCAAAATGTTTACTGTTCGATGTTACAGAGATAAAATGGTCATGATTCCAAAGAAAAATACGCTCATCTAAACTGAATAGTAAATAGGTTCCCAATTTCTGAAATTGGAAAAAACGTATAAAATCAGACAGGTTCCTGATGTCAAAATACATTGCATACTTTAAGATGGATAACCCTTCTAGCTGACGATAAAAAGCAAAGCTGAACTAATTTCGTCTTTTGTATTATTGAGTGACACCCAAGACGCTGTAAAAGCTTTTGTGAGTAATGCGTTTCTACTTAGAATTTAAAAAAAAGAGATAGTCTATTAAAAAAAACAATTTTCTTCCATACAACTTCGTTTATACCAAAGAATCGCGAGGGGTAAGTAATTCGTTCTTGATTTAGAACATTATAGAAAGGTACGTAAAGCCCAAATAACCACAATTGTATCATGTAACCCTTTTTTGTCTTCGCCCTTGTCAGCTTAGCTGTTCCAGTAATCATTATGCAATTGCGAGGGCCTTAAAACATTTAACCCCCCCCCCCCAAAAAAAGAAGAAAAAGTAAAATAACACATTGGCTGGAATCGGCATACAAAAAAACAACAACAAAAAACCCCAAAAAACTCGTTATGTACTGCTGATAGTAAGGCCTCAGACGAAAAGCCCCACATCGAATATTATGTGAAACTCCATGGTGAAATCAGGCACTCGTCAAAATAATTAAAGTCAAGAAACTGACATTTTTTTCGCGGGTTTGGGAATTTTTATCGAATTTTTGTTTTTGGGCAAAACACCTTTCATGCCCTTGAAAGAACCTATTTCTGTTGGAGATTATACTGAAAAATGTTAATTTAAGGCACAAACATGTGAATTTGCGGTTTCTAGGGATTGTTAAGCTTTGGAAGTTCACAAAATTTGGCGGCCATTTTCTCTCTAATTTTACCTCTGAAAAAAAAAGGCTCCTTTAAACTCAAATATCTAGACTTCATGACAGATGGATATTTTTTGCACCGAAACAAGAAAAACAAACAAGCTTAAAAGTGATACCAATAACTCAACGTGTACAAAATTTGACAAGCGTCTGATACCACCGCATCGTGACCTATATATTTCACGGACATTTTGGGACTAGGGTGGCTCGGCAGAAGTAAGGACCCGGCGTGTGCGGATCGCGGGTAGCCGCTTCGTCGTCACACACAGAAGGTCCGAGTTTGATTCTAGTGAGGAGAGAATCATTGTTCAGTTTCTCGGTCTTTCTACTTAGATCTTGTATCCCTGGGAGGTCAAGTTGGCCCTGATGAGCAACGTCGATGCCCGCCTCCTAAACGAGTTATGGTTTGTCGATGGGGAGCACAAAAAGACTTACGAGGGGCATACCAAAAGCGTTTTACCTGACCATGAAGGAATAAAGGTAGACCGCTGAAATTTGAGGAGAAAGTCAACAATTATATGCCGAGAATGCGTGTCAATTTTGGAGAATTTCCAACTACTGGTATTATCACCAGCGCACTGTGAGTGAATGGGGGTGTGTTGTTCTCCAGTTTCAAAATACAAACGAAAAAATTTGAGCACAGGGCAGTAATGAAGTTTTTGTTCTTGCAAGGAAAGCAACAGCAGGATATGTTTTCGAATAAGCGTGCCGCATA